CATGCCCAAAGGCCCCATCTTTCCATGCAATAAGATAGTAAGGCTATTCTTAAAACCTTCACAACCAGCCTCTACACACACATTCGGGGTGGGTGGATGGGCACAACCCCAACTTCGCCCTTCCCCGGAATCACTATGCCTGGCCCTGGTGTCTTTACCTTTGTTCTTACTCTCCCATGCCTGGGTTGGACACATTGCAAAGCCAAATGAGCTTCTCCAAATGCAAATTTAAACACATCAGTTTTGTCCTAAAGTCTAACCCTTTGGATGAAAGCTGCATTATTTTATAAGTAGTATTTATTTTAATTTGTATTATTATTTTAATGTGCTATAGGGCACACGTGATTGCCAGAGAGAGAGAGAGAGACAGAGAGAAAGAGAGGGAGAGAGAAAGTGAGAAAGTAAGCTGCCAGCTCTGAGACTTGAAACATGGTCGCCACGTGGGCCTTAACCACCACTCCTTCTGCTGGCCCCAAAGCCCTGTTTTTTTTGTTTGTTTGTTTTGTTTTGTTTTGTTTTTAACATGACTAACCAGGAATTCAGTGATCTAGTTCCTTCTGTCACTCTAGCTTCATGTCCAATCACGCCCCCACCAGGAGGCCACAGGGACTGCCTCTCTGTTCTTCCAAGGATCTAAGTGCACTTGCGTGGAGCCTGCACACCTGCTGTCCCTTCTGTAACACTACTGCTTCTGCAATTTTGTTCATAGTTCAAGTTCAGCTTGTTGGGTGGTGAAGCCCGACCCCAACCCTCTAATTCTGGGCTGGTTATATTCCTCTTGTTTGTTCTCTCAGGATGCCCTCTGCTACCACATAATTATCCATGGATGAATATATTGACCTCTAGACTGTAAGTTCCATGAAAGCAAAGGATGTGAGAGTTGCTTATTATTTGTATCCACTGTGGTGACCCAGCTCTGAGACTCAACAAAGTCTGTTAAAAAAATTAAATTAAAAAAAATAATAAATGAGTCAAGCTATAATGAAATTTTGTGACCATTGTCTTTGGAAAAAAAACATACTGACTAAAAATCATGCACTGCTAAATTTATTTCAAAAGAAGTACCGAAAGCACTGTAGACACTGGCATTATGGATGTTCATCAACTTCTCTCATCTCATCAGCATTAAACATGTTTCTTGGATATTTTTAAATAAATAGATAAAAGAGGTATTAAGTCTTTCCTAAAATCTTGATTTCTAGCAAAGTTAAATGTTAAAAATATGTTTATGAGCTATTTGCACTTATCTTCTTCTGAATCACTTATTCATATACTTAACTATGTTTAATGCTTTATAGAGTTTTAAGGAGACTATGGCTGTATATCTTAAATAACTTGAATATGTAGATTCCATTTTCACAGCATCAAGTCCTTAAGAAATGCATTGGCGTTACTTTTTATGCTGCTTCTCCCAATTTATTAATTTATTAATCATCAAATTTTTATCAGAAATTAGGATTACAGCAAAGATTAGTTTCTAAATGCAACAGAATTTGGGCCAGAATGATTAGTTCCAAATGATAATAGTAAAGAGGTCTTATGTAGAGAATAACATACATCTTAAAAAAAATCGATATTTTATGTGGCAGATTCATAACAGAAGACACAAGGACGAGGATTTGTCTCCCATTTCTTAATGAGACAACTGTCTACGCACAACAAAGCCCTTCCTCTGGAAATCACCAAAGATGTTGATATGAGGATGAAGTTTTGAAGCTCATGTGAAATCTTTTAATTCCTTTGTTATTTTTCCTAATGCACAGATTTATTTGAGCCTGCTGGGACGTGGTATTTAGTAGAGACGGACAATGCGCCACATGGCATGAGTGTCCAGCAACAGACGCTGTGTCCTGACTTGATCTGACAGTTATCTGATTGGGTTGTGCGATTTGGACAATAGAGGGGCTTAATTTCCTTATCCTCCTTAGAGAAGATGCTAGACACTATCGGAAACAGATTTATTTCAAGTTGTATTTGAAGAACAGAATATTGTTTCTCCTGATATCTTTAATCAAGAGACAGACTGGTCCAGGGGAACAAATGTGGGATTTAGAGTTGGATTCAAATCAAATTCAGATTTTTTTTTATTAATAATTAGCTATGTAATCTTGGCTAAGTTATTTGACCTACCTGAGCTTCCTCATTCTTCCATAGAGGATAAAAAAAAAACAATGTGAGTACAATGAGGCTATTGTGCATACTCAAACACATACCTATAAATGAACCAGGGTATTATATGTTCTATAACAGGTACTCTGTCTACAATAGGAATTATTATTAGCTTATTATTATTAAAGGGAAATTAAGGAATAAATGGATGACCCAGAGTGGCATTGTGTACATTAACATTATTATTATTATTGTTATTTTGTGAGGACAAAATTGCTGAACAAGAGCAATTAAAATAATCTATTTTGAATCTATTCAGAAGCACTCCAGAAAACACCTGAAAAATTTTACCTACTTTTTCCTTACAAGGCATTATCTAAGTAAATAACCCAGTGACCAATTCTGGGGACCCAGATGTTCTTGGAGGATTAAGGCTGCTCTCCTCTGCTGTAATGTGTTTGGTAAAGAGCTTTAGGTACATCATTTGAAGACCTGCAGTTGTATCTCCAGAATTTGGCTTTTGATTTATAAAGCTTAAAAAAAAAAAAAGGAAGCAACAACAACAGAAAAAAACCTACTACATACTTGAGCAGCTTAGTATTACCTAATCAGCTTAATTGCACCAGGGTGATGCCTGGTATGCATTCTGTCAGCAAGAAGAATGGAGGAAAAAGAGCACTCTAATAGAGTAATTTTAATTGCATTGTGTGATTTAATTATTGAGCTATCTCAGCACCCTACCTCCAAGTACAAATGAGTATGAATCAGACAATCACGTGCATATTGCTAGGCCATTACTGTTTGCTATTTATCATCGATAGGTTGATAGCTTGCAGGTATCTATGGCTTATAGCTTATAGCAAGCACTTAATTTTCTTGGCACCCAGGGTCTGGGTCAGGAGATCGGTAATGACCTGTATTACCACTGAACAGGTTTTGAAATTAAAAGAAACAACCAACACTACTTGGTACTTTGGGGGAGGATATTAAACCATCAATCAAATGGGTCAATGTGCCTGAGGAGGAATGAGACAGTCCCTAACATTTAGAGGTGACTTCCAGAGCAAATATGTGGGGAGTCCAGAAAGTATCAAAATGTTCTTGCTATTTAAGTGGAGATAGGAAGGAAAAGAAAAGGACGGAGCTTGAGATCCTTGCGGTATTATTTTCTTCGCCTATCTCTCAGAGTAATTTTTGCAGCTCAAATATACATTAATACAAGTTTTACCACAATGCTTTCCTGGTAAAATAGTACCTGTGGCCATCTGAACTCCTAAATAGGGGAAACGATGACACTGCAAAATCCTAGAGAACATCTATTTTATGACATCTTTACTTAAAAATAGGACCACATACTTTTAAGGTTTTACATAACAATTACACTTATTTATTTATTTATTTATTTCTTACTTACTTGTTGGAGAGGTTTTTGCTATAGGTGCATGTGCCAGAAAGACAGAGAGATAGAAAGCAAGAAATCACCCCCTGGGGGGATGGCCACATGGCAATTCCTTCTCCTCCATTCTCCTCTGGGGATCTTGGACACACACGCACAGGCACCCAGCGTGTCAAGCCACCAGGTCTGGGACTTGAACCATGGTCGACTACATGGGAGTCCAGCAACAGTCATTATGTTAACTGCTGGTCCCAAACATATTTATTTTTAACTTATCTTTAAATTAATTTATAATTACCAACACATCTTCTAAACAGGTGACCACTGAAGCTGTTTGTAGTTGACTTCATAGTAGCATTAAAATTTAATTTCATAACATCAATTGGAATATAGCACACTGAGTAACTATATATGAATGCAACATAAAGTTAAGACACTAAAAACAAGTATCTAGGGACTAGAAGATGGCATAATGGTTATGTCGCTGGATTCCCACATGGTTCAAGTCCCAGACCCGGTGTCTTAAAACACACTGGGCATGTGTGCATGCATGCCCAAAATCCCAAAAGGAGAATGAAGGAGAAGAAATTGTGGTGTGGCCATCCCCTTGGGGAGTGATTTCTCACTTTCTGTCTCTCCTTCTCTCTCTGTCTCCCTGGCAAGTGCACGTGCCCTATAGCAAAAGTCTGAAAAAAAAAGAAAAGAAAAAGGGTCTAGACAGTGTCAGAAGTTGACAGTATGATGTACACCACAGCACCGTGATGTCAGAGAGAGCGGACAGAGGTATTACAGGCTGTTCAGTGAGAGACACGAGGTATATATAACACATTAGCATTCATCTCTATAATACAATTCCTGGGATGGAAATCTAGAAAAGCAAACTAAGGCTTAGACCTTATTTTTTCTACTGATAGATGAAAACATTTCAAATATAAAAACAACTAGTTAGTGCTGCCCTCATAGTTGAGTAGTTAGGGGAACTAAGTCCCACATGGCTGACCAGGGTCAGGGTCCCAGCCCTGGCAGCTTGAAAAACATGTTGAGTTGTGTGTGTGTGCATGCCCCAGATCCCAACATGATGGAAAAAGGGAGAAGAAGTGACTGCAGCATGACCATACCCCATGGGGGAGGTGCTTTCTCTCTGACTTTCTCTGGTGAGTGCATGTACCCTTTGGCAACAAATAATAATGGCAATAATAAAAACTAGTTGTTTCTAGGAACCAGGGAAACGCATTGGGCTTTGTTACAGACTGAATTCTGTGCTCCACCTCTCAAACTCACACATTAATAACCTAACCCCCAGTGGCTACCACTAGGATGGGGCCTTTGGAGGCTGGGAGAGCTGTACCCTTAACTGAAGAGAGGAGAGAGCTTCCTTCCTCTGTGCTGAGATGAGAGGACCCAGGAGAAGACAGCATCTGCAGATGAGGAGGCTGCCTTCATCACACCCCTTCATCTTGCCTTTCTAGACTCCAGAATTATGAGCAATAAATACCCTTTAGTCAAGCCGATCAGCCCGTGGTTACTGTTATAGCAGCCTGTGCTCACTAACACAGGTGCTGTCCATCTGTCAGGAAGCAACCTCAGGAGCATGGGATTCATGCCAAGCCAATCTTGATTCCATGACTCCACAAAACAAGGATACTGAGGTAGCTGAGGTAAAAAGAGAAGGGAAAGTCCCAAACGTCCCCATTTGGAACAAAGGGAAAAGGAATGTGACCAGAGTCAGCCTGCAGTTTGTACTGTTCAACGCATGAGAGAGCAACTTACAAACGTATCTATTTTTTATTTCTTTGTATTTGTTTTTTCTAGATGATGTTCGATTACAGAAAGAAAGCCACCACAAAATGTGGTGAAGCAGAATGGAAGCACAAGAAGTTCTGGCTCAAGATAGACAGATTGTCTCTTGCATATTCATTCAAAGACAGCGCCAGGGAGAAAGCCAGTGTGCCGGCAGCAGAGGGAGCGAGGGATTGTGTCGCGAGGTGGGGCAGACCAGAATTTCACACTCCTGAAACAACTGGGCTTGCATTCACACCCATCTCTTGTGTTTGTACATTTTTAAGCCCATCAGCTTCAGTTACAGAGTGCCGACACTCGGTATATATTAAGTGGAGACATACAGTGTCTCTCTGTGGTGTGTGTGGAGGAGTGGGGACTGGGGAAAAACATTTGGAGGAGGGATACAGAGACAGCATTGTTGAGACAGGGAGACATTGTTGAGACATTGTTATATTTTGATCAACTGGACTGGGGAGAAATGTTTGCATATTGAAATGATTACCTTGTAAGCTAAAAAATGTGATTGAATGTATTAAAAAAAACGTAAAAAATAAAAATAAATTAATTAATTTTAAAAATTTAAAAAACAAAACAAAAACAAAAACACAACTGGGCTTGCATGTGCTGTTTTCAGAAAACGATGGTGATGTTTGAATACTCAGAGAAAATCAGAATATGTGAGAGAAGTGCTGATCTCTCCTGGCCCAACCCTCCCCCCTTTCTTAAACAGCAGAAAGTAGAAAGGCTTTCTTTATGTGAGGAAATAGGTTAATCCTTCATCTCTTAATGCTTTAAGTTCTTGGAAATAATTCTGTGGAGATGACAATATTAACATTGTAAGAAACAAACAGCTCTCTTCTTTCATTTTACTCCATGAATGGCACCCAGCCTTCAGCCCTGGTTAATCCCAGGTAAAACACTTAAAAGGGCCATACCAACAGCTGGAGCAGAGAGACCACCGACCTAAGCCACTGTGTGGAATCCTAGGTGCTAAATGCTTTGGAGCCAGTGTCCACGCTAGGAGCAAGGAATAAGACTGATGAGGCTCTTACTACAACTCCAGCGTTCAAGGACTCAAGGAGCCACTTTCTAAAGGATGTGCCGCTCCTCCCTGTGGCTGGAGGAAACAATGCCCACCTTCAAGATAAATGGGGGACCCAGGTTCAGTTGAAGTTTCTGGGCTTATCACAAATGCAGATTTCTAGTTTTCTATTAGAAAGCAGAAAATATTAGACTTCAGTTAGATTAATTATACATCAAAGCAATTGACAACGGTAGATGCAAAGGTAAAAGTACTAGAGCAGACCGAGCTTTTCCCCTTTATTTTCACAGGAAACTGTTTCACTGCAGAGCCACTGTCACACTGCTGTGATTCACAGAAGAATGTGATGTTTAATGAGCCAAATATGAAGATAATTATGCCAGTTATATTTGGGGCACACACAAAATAACAGACCGTATTTGTAGACACTTTATGAACACTCCAGGGCAGAGAAAAAAAAGATTTTCTTTTTTAATAGTTGAAATGTATTTTACTATGACTAAATACCTTTAAAGTAATACATTGCTTTTCTGCCCAATTAAAACAAAAAAGTAAGAATCACAAGAGTGCATTCCTGGTTTCAGAGGTCCAAAAGAAAGTTTAAGCTGATTTGAAACCCCAGCTAGATTTTATCCCGGTGGCATCTAAGTGAATAATCAGATCTGTAATTTCTTGAAAATGGTTTATTCATATAACAGTACCCATTCATAACTAGTTTTTTTCTTTCAATTGAGAATTAATGTTGCAGATAAGCCAACACTTCATACCACTGTAACCATGCATCAGAATAGGTTTAAATCACAAAGCCACTTGGAGAAAGAAATACTTACAGATCCACTTAGTATCTGATATGTTAAACTGATATAAAAAGTAATCATTAATTGGTAAATATTTGAGATTATTCAAACAAGTTTTCAGAGCATAGGTACAAGTCAATGGAATGCTGTGTTTGAACAAAAATGTGCTTAAGAGATATTTAGACAGACATTGGGGGTGCCCTTGTTATGAGAAAAGCAGAAAAAGCAAAATGCTCCAAATCTATCTTTGGAACTATCGTATATTAAACTAGGTCTGTAAAGATCATCTGGTTTAACTCGTATAACAGACAAGAAAATTCCAATTGGGGCCAGCAGGTAGTGTGGTAGTTAAGGGCGCGGGATTCCCACAGGGCCAACCAGGGTTTGAGTCCTGGACCTGGTAGCTTGCTTTCTCACTTTCTTTCTCTCTCTTTCTCACTCTGTACCTCTCTGGTCAAGTAAAAATAAATAAATGAAGTTAAATAAAATAAATTTTTAAGAAGTGCCAATCGTAGAATCTAAGCAATTGCCTTGGTTTACTCAGGTACTTAATAGTATAGTTGAGACTGGAGAACTAAGAACACATCTCATCAGAGTTCTTTTTTATCATATAATACTGAGATTCCAGTGAAAAAATCTGACATTTAAACCCAAAGTTGCCTGAAGCTATTTCTTTCCTTCTAGATGAAACTTCCTCTTTTTGCATAAACAGCTCACAGGGTAAAAATATCCCAAGGCATTGCAGGAATTGGTTGAAATCACAAGCTCATTGTAATCATCTTACAAGCTCCTGTAGTTCTGTGAGGGCTCCACTGATCAGAAAAAGGGCAAGTGAAACATCCATCTTTGCTGGGAGTTCAGATTGGGCTCCACATGAGAGCTCATCAAAGACAAGGAGAATTGAGTTTAGACTAGATTACTGCCGAAAGAGTGCACAACTGATTAGAAAAGTGATTTCTAAAATCTGATTGTAGACATCGAAATATGACACTAGTTATCAACAGCGCTGTCCCCAAATTTATTCCAGAAGTACTCTCAGAGGTAAACAAACATTTTACCTCTAATTTTAGAATTAACGGATAGTACATGAAGACAGTAAGGTTAGTGGAAGTTGTGTACAGCAGGAGAGAGGAGGTCATGAAATCTAGGACTTGGATGTGTGAAGAATTATGTGGACTGGTCCTTAGGGATCTTCCACTTAATATATGCCAGGAGCACACAGAGCCTGATAGCGATCATTGCTCTAATTTTTAAGAATGTTTGATTAAGGCTGGGTTATGGAAGAGTTGTTCATTAAGGTGCTAATGTGGATGAGACCCAATTTAGAAAGGCGCATAACATACTTAGAACAGTTGCTTAAAATACCATGTAAATTCTAAAAAAAAAAAAAAAAAAAAAAAAGAGTGGATATGAGGGGATAAAAAAGTAAGTACGAAAATGCAATTAAAGTATGAGTTTATTTTGGTGCAGAAACCAGACTGAAATCCATGTATAGTTTTCTCCTAATATGGTTTTCTGTGCAAAGATCCCATGTATGACCAGCCACAGTGGCTCAGGAAGTAAGCACTGCCATGCAAGGCTGGGGCCATGTGAGAAATCAAAGATCTTCCCAGACCAATCTATGTAGGGCAGGTGCAGAGTCACATCCTTATGGTCTTGGCTGGCTGAGAAGCATGGGCAGGTGAAACATTACGTGGTAAGAATGTTTATCGATCTCTGTCTTTCTATCTTTAATAAATAACTATATAAAAGTGAATATATAAAAACAGAAAGACACATGAAAGATGGTAAAATGCTAGCTGTACAGTGGTAATACGGCACTTTATAATATTGAAGTCACATGAGACAGTTTGTGTTCAAAGGTCTTTCTGTACACACAAGGAGCATATGTACCTGTGATCCAGGGTAACCAAAGCTGGGGTGGACTGTGGCATGGAGAAACTCGTGAGGGTTCCTGTATTTGTCTCTCTCTGCCTCTCAAGGAAGAAATAAATAAACATAAAGAGAGAGAGAGAGTGTGCCAAGGGGACAGTGTCTTCAATCAGCGGTATCGTAAAACTGGATATCTGCGCGCAAAAAAGTGAAACTAGAATCCATTTCTCTTTTATTTGGAGAGGTTTTTCGCTATAGGGCACATGCGCTCGCCAGACAGACAGAGAGAGACATAGAGACAGAAAGCGAGAAATCACCCCCCAAGGGGAGATGGTCATGCCGCAATCCCTTCTCCTCCATTCTCCTCTCAGGATCTTGGGCACATAGGCACACACGCCTGGCGTGAATTTTAAGCCACCGGGTCTGGGACGTGAACCACGGTCGACTACGTGGGAGTCCAGCAACATAGCCTTTACGCTAACTGCTGGTTCCCTAGAATCCATTTCTTAACATATTAAAATAATCAACTCAAATTGGATAAGAGACTCATATGAAAGGTCACAAAATATGAAACACCTCTATAGGGGAAATATTTCATGGCATTGAAGTAGGAAAGAATTTTTCTGATAAGAACTCAAAAGAATAGGATCAAAAGTAAAATAAACAAATGTGATTATATCAAACTAAGTAGATTCTCTTTTATTTGGAGAGGTTTTTCGCTATAGGGCACGTGCGCTCGCCAGACAGACAGAGAGAGACATAGAGACAGAAAGCGAGAAATCACCCCCCAAGGGGAGATGGTCATGCCGCAATCCCTTCTCCTCCATTCTCCTCTCAGGATCTTGGGCACATAGGCACACACGCCTGGCGTGAATTTTAAGCCACCGGGTCTGGGACGTGAACCACGGTCGACTACGTGGGAGTCCAGCAACATAGCCTTTACGCTAACTGCTGGTTCCCTAGAATCCATTTCTTAACATATTAAAATAATCAACTCAAATTGGATAAGAGACTCATATGAAAGGTCACAAAATATGAAACACCTCTATAGGGGAAATATTTCATGGCATTGAAGTAGGAAAGAATTTTTCTGATAAGAACTCAAAAGAATAGGATCAAAAGTAAAATAAACAAATGTGATTATATCAAACTAAGTAGATTCTACATAACAAATGAAGTGATCAACAGAATGAAGAAACAACTGGCAGAATGGGAGAAAATATTTGTATTTTATGTCTCTGGAGCCAACATCCAAAATATATAAGAAACTGAAATAACTCAATAGTAAAAATAAGCAGCAAGTAATACTATTAGAAAATAGTCAGAGGGCCCAGCGGATGGCATAATGGTTACATCACTGGACTCCCACATGGTTGACCGCCGTTTAAGTCCCAGACCTAGTGGCTTCATACCCACGCCGGGCGCATGTACAAGTATGCCTGCATGCCCAAAATCCCGAGAGGAGACTAGAGGAGAAGTGATTGTGGTGCAGCCATCTTCTCTGGGGAGTAATTTATTGCTATCTCTCTCTCTCTGTATCTCTAGTGAGTGCACACACCTTATAGCAAAACTTCTCTAGAAAAAAAAAAAGAAGAAAAAAGAAAAAGAAAACAAACAAACAAAAAAACAGAAAATAGGCAGAAGATCTGAATAGCCATTTCTCAAGAGAAGGCATACGAATGATCAATAAGTATAAGAAAAAATGTTCAACATCACTAATCATTATGGAAATCCAAATGAAAACCACAATGAGATATCACTTCATCTCAAATAGAATGCCTATTAAAAAGACAAAAATGTTGACATGGATGTGGAAAAAAATAATTTTTATACACTGTTGGTGGGAATGTAAATTCGTACAGCCATTTATGGAAAACACTATGGAGGTTTTCCCAAAAATTAAAAATGGAAGTGCCATAGGTTCTGCGATCCCACTACTGAGTATATATTTAAAGGAGAGGAAATTCTGTGTCTATTCACAAGAGTGAAGATAGGCACTCAGTCTAAGTGTCCATCAACACATGGGTGGATACAGAAAATATGGCATATATGAGGGGACTTTAATAACTATGTAGAGAAATGGAATTAAAAAACAATTTAATTTTTTTGAGGATGAGACAGTAAATTTGCATTGGTTATAAAAAGCAAGTGCTGAGCATCGAGAATAGTACTTACGCCCGGAATAGTTAACTGCGAGTTTATTTGGGGGCGAAACAATTTGAAATGTATGCATAGCTTTCTCATAAGATGCATTTTCTGTGAACATTTTGAAGACCTTTTGTCTCTACAATGGGATATTATTAGCCATAAAAGAAGAGGGGAATCCTGGCATGTATAATAACATGGATGCACCAAGAGAATATTTTGTAAAGAAAAATAAGCCAAACACAGAAAGACTGCATGATCACACTCATTTGTGGAATCTATTAAGAAGCTGATGTCATAGAAATACAGTGGGCTAGTGATTACCAGGAAATGGGAATGGAAAGGGACAGAGGAATGGGGAGAAACTGCTCAATAGATAGAAAATTATAGTCAGATAAAAACAACTAAGTGCTGGAAACAGCAGTTGGCGTAATAGCTATGTCACTGGATTCCCATGTAGTCGACTATGGTTCAAGTCTCAGACCAGTGGCTTAAACTCACGCCAGGCACCTGTGTGTGCGTGCCCAAGATCCCAAGAGGAGAATGAAGGAGAAGGGATTGTGGCATGGCCATCCCCCCTGGGGGGTGATTTTTCACTTTGTCTTTCTGGTGAGAGCACATGACCTATAGCAAAAATCTCTCCTAATAATAATAATAATAATAATAATAATAATAACTACTGATGCTTTAATAATAATAAATACTGATGTTTTATTGCATAGTGGTGTGACTATGGTCAACAATATTGCATTAATACATATTTAAAGATATTTCACATAAGTACAATAGATTTTAAATGTTCTCACAATAAAATAGTTATTTGAAATAATGAATGTGTGAAACCCTCTGATTTGATCATTATACAGTAAATACCTGTATCAAAATAGTACACTGTATTCCATCAAGATATACAATTACTAGTATCAATTAAAAAGAAATCAATAGGATACTTCAGATAGATGTACAACTTTACAACCTAGGGATATACTGTCTTTTTTTCCCCTCGTTTTTAAGGTTTTTGCTATAGAGCACATACTTTGGCAGGAGATAGACAGAGGAAAAATGAAAAATCACACCTGTCTCCCCACCTAGGAGGGATGACCATGCTGCAATCGCTTATCCTTTATCCTCCTCCTGGGATTTTTGGGCATGCATGCACAGGTGCCCAGCGTGAGTTTGAAGCTGCCAGGTCCACTACTTGAACCTTGCTCAGCCATGTGGGAGTCTAGCACCTTAATCATCATACCACCCACTGGTCCTGGGATAGACTGTCTTTTAAGATTCAATGGGATCTCAGTGGAATTCCCACTAACCAAACCATTGATGGGCATAAAAATCATAGTCAATCTCCTCTAAATCAGCTCAGCTTATCAATAATCTATATATTTCACACAAATGGAATTATATAAAATGTATTTGGCTGGAATTGGCTTCCTTCACTTAGTTTAATATTTTAAGGTTCAATCATTGTAGCAGGCCTTGGGGCTTCATCCTTTTTTATTGTGAAGTAACAGTCTACTGTGTGGTTATACATGGTTTGCTTGTCCACTCATCAGTTGATAGGCAATTGGGACACTGTCCTGGTTATGAATAGATTCCACAAATGAGTGTGATCATGGACCCTTTTTATTTTGTAAAAATGTTTTTATTTCATTTTTCTGAGGTATACAGCAGGAGTAATGACAGCTCGATGTTTAACTCTGAGGAATAGCCACAGTTTTTCCCAAAGTAGCATACCATCCTATATCCTCACCAGGGACATATGAAGGGTCAAATTTCCCCACATCCTTGCTAACACTTGTTATCCTTCGCCTTTATTACAGCTAT